CTGCTGTTTCATAGGTAGCATATTTTGTGTGTTCCTATTCTTACTATTGGTCTTGTAATAAGAAAAATACTTAGCTAGTCACATCAGGTTTAATTAGAGCAGAGCCACGTCTGTGTCTGGAAACAGAACACAGTTGCCATTTTAACAGTTCTTACTGCCGTATAACAATTAAAGCACTGCTTTTTAAACTGTTGCCATTTTGGGTGAAGTCTGCCAGCAAAACTGCCCTTTTTTACTTGTAGCTTTTTCCATGCCTTCATGTGAAATAAAAGACATCACAAAAATAATGATGTATTGCTACAAAGACATCACAAAAATAATGGTGTATTGCTACATCTGTCTTTTTCTGTTACCGTAATGATGTTGTTTGGTAGAATTATACTAAAAAAAGCTTACAGCGTTGTTTTAGTCTAGTAACATTGAGGTAGAAAGTTACTGCTAGTAATACACTTCGTCTTTGACTTTTTCTATGAATGACTTGGTTGACAGTCATGATCAAAGACCTAGGAGTTAAATGAGAGTCAGTAGCAAGGAGGTTGTTCAGAAATAAAAAAAGCTACTGATACTTTGTTTATATCTGTTTATGTACACAGTAATTGCGATTGCATCCACAGACACAGGAGTAACAAACACATACTTCCAGTTAAATATCTAGCTGTATAACTGGCAATGTAATTGTTGTGTTCACGTTAAACCATTTTGCTGAACCATTTTTTAACATTTGGGCCAGTATGTTTTGCATTTGAGCCTGACATGACACCCTGTGTGTCCATCTGGAGAAATAAAGGTTCTTTAAAAAATTCTTTCTTTCCAGCTTGTTGGTACCAGCAGATGCTTGTTTGTTCCAAAATACTGAGTTTCCGGAACATGATCTCCCAATTTCCAACTGTAATGTCAAATTACAAGAAATAATGATTTTACAAGGCTATTCGATGAATGTCATGACATTGGTTTTGGTTGATGGTTAAGGACAAGTAATAACAGAAATATTACCAAAGAAATTGTATTACCAGTTGTGGCCAGTAGCTACATGGAGCTATTTGTCGTATTAATGCTTTTCCTGAATGATAGTATTCTAGAATCAGCTAATCATTAATTACATCTCCAGAATGCCTTTAAGGAATTACTGTTTCTGGGGTTGAGATTTTTTAGACCTGTATAGCTGCATCAGCTTGACCTGTTGCTCTTTCTAACTTATGAAGGTAGACTGACGGAAATTATTTGTATTGGGCAGGTTTATTATGATGAAGTTTAAATCAGTAACCTTTGAAGATTCACTTTTTAAGAACTGTGTGTTTGAAGACATTACTTCACTGAACACTTACTTCAGGAACTGTACTTTCGTGAATACCACCTTCTACAACACAGGTATTACGAGAAAAAGCCCTGAACAACCATTGTTCAGCTGTGTGTTCTCATCTTATGTTTATAATTTCTGGATTTCTAATAAGGCATACAAGAAGCCCTCTTGTAGGGAATAAAAAGCTATAAAAAGCAACAGGCCTCCGTAATGTTATAACAGAAAAATGAAAGGATCACCTGCTCTAGAGAGACCACAGGCCTAATATTGACTCAGATAATAAACATTTCTTTGATATTAATCATCTCTAAAGAGATTCAGTCTGGAGAGGAGAAAATACATTTACTGCTTTACTGGTAGCTTTGACTAGTGTACTTTTATTTAGTCTAAATGGGACTGGTGAAATACTTTGTTCGTGGAGCTTGCTGTGGAATGGGAGTCTGAGTTCAGGATTCAAAATACCTAATCTGTAATCATTTCCACCCTCCTAAGTATTCTAACAAAAATAGGAATGCATATTTTTGTATGTTTAAACAGATGACTCTCTTTTTTTCCCATTTAATAAAACATAACTGAAAGTAGAACACGGCCAGCTAAGCTTGTTGGAAAGTCAAGGTACTTCTTACCACTTTCCCGTAACTCCAGCAATCATAGTAGTAATAGAGTTAGGTTTCAGAGCAAGAAACGCCCAGCTTTCTTTTTGTGGAGGGAAGGTATTCTTGATTCAGGGTTTTAAGGCTGACAGGAGGAAGAGAAAGAAAGTGGAAGTATAGGGAGAAATCTCCGAAATGGTATTGGAAGAACAATGGCCTGAACAGTTGTATGCCGTAACTCATCCATGTTCAAGCTGAAGATGACAAGGCCTCCTCAGAAATGAAAATTAGTTTAATCTGAATTCTGTAGAAACGTTTCGCTTTAAAAGAAGTCAAACCAAACTGAGCATGATCGGCAATCTCATCTGAAAGGCTGTCTGGTGTGGAAATAGAAGGTCTGATACCGAGCAAGACCAAGTGATAGAAGTTTGCAGATACCCGGTGCTTTTTATGCAAGACCAGCTGGTGCTGAAAGGCCTCGACCAAATACAGTCCAAGCAGAGCTGAGATACATTAATATAACTTGCCTAATTCCAGGCCTTAGTTGCTCTTTTTCATGAGCTTTGCATATTTTTCTATTAAGATAAAAAGATATCAAAATTAACAGCAATAACTAGTCCCATTATATGAAGCAGTGAAAGCTCTGAGTTGTCGTTAAAGTTGCCTAAACTTGAAACGTTTTTAATCAAAAGCTGCACATGGAGTCGGCTGTTAGCTGAAATGTTTCTTTTTCTTCTTTCCACAGATCTCGAGCAATATAAATTTGTTGACAGCGAATTGATAAATTGCACATTTTTCCACATCAGGACAGGATGCCAGATTTCTTTCGATGACGACTACAGTGCCTACTGGATTTACTTTGTTAATTTCCTGGGAACTTTGGCAGTGTTACCAGGGAATATTGTGTCCGCTCTCCTGATGGATAGAATTGGACGGTTAACGATGCTAGGTAGGGGCTTCACTTTAAAACAGGGAACAACACCAAAACCTAAAGCTCTCCCGATAGAGTAACATGTTCTCTTTTTAAAGAATTTGGTTCAGAGAAATGCGAAACATTCCTTCTGCAGATACTTCGTTTATGCAGCATCATAAGCATCATTTTTTAAAGCCTCAAGTTTAGAAATTCTAGGAACGAAGGGTTCTGTAACTAGTTCTGCTAGGTCACCTTATCAGTCATTGCTCTTCCATGCTGATATTACAAGACCGTTATTCAGGCATTTGGGATGAGATTTTGGAGAGTGCTGACCATTGGGTTGTCTTTACTCCAGCTGAAAAGAAAGCAAGATGTGCACAGGTGACCCTCAACTAGTGGAGCAGCTCCTCAGAAGAGTCAGCAATCCTTCGCCTCTTACCTATTTTGCAAAGTAACACAGTTGAAAGATATCTCTTATGGATTATCTGTAATGACAAATCTGTTTTCAATTACTTAAATAAGTATGAGGTAGTTCATTGTGTTAATTTTCTGGGAGAATATCTCTATATAAATGTAATTCTCATTCAGTGTTTTTATTGCCACAATATAAGAAGGAGTTTCATGTAATTGCAGAAGATGATGAACAAGGAAGAATGGGGGTAGTTTTCCCCAAGCAGCTTGCTTTGGGAGTTCAGAGAGGGCTGCAGCTTAATGCTTTATGATATATCCTAATACTTCAGGAGGTGTGGTTTTGGTTTTTTTTTTCCTATGAGACCCTTAGAACATTTGTCTGCCTGACTGGTCTTACTACCAGAGGAGGTCTCTTTAGTTTTTACTTCAAATACATGGGTCAGTTATTTAGCTACACTGTGTGAATAAAAACATTAGACAAAACAAACAAAGATCATATTTTAAATACAGCTCCACTTTGTGTTCGTTTCACCTGTCTCCTACCTAGGTGGTTCCATGGTTCTCTCTGGCATCAGCTGTTTTTTCCTGTGGTTTGGGACCAGTGAATCCATGATGATAGGCATGCTGTGCCTCTACAACGGCCTCACCATCTCAGCGTGGAACTCTCTAGATGTCATCACCGTGGAGCTGTATCCTACAGACAGAAGGTATGTGCAGATACATGTCCCCTAACCTCACTGACACTACTGTCTATGTACCAGCAGAAATGATAAATAGAAACGGTTACGTACAAGCTTTACAGCAGTAGTGATGTTTTGAGTGGACTGAACAAACAGTTTGCCTTACAAATAAGAAAGGGAAAAAAGAGATTTTTTGAGCTATTTGGTATGTATTTTGCATCCAATATCACCTAAACAGAAAAAATACCACAAATGTAGTTTTATATGAAAAAAGAAAGTGTAACTGCTACTCATTTAAAACACAGCTAATGAGTAGTATTTCTGAAAACAGTAATGGAATATTTCTGGTTTTCCTCTAGTGCCACTGGCTATGAAGACAGTAGTTGGTCCAAAATAGCAATATAGCTGCATTTGTCTGTGAAATGGTGGGGACGATAATAAAAATCACTGTCTGGAGCTGAACAGCATCTTCTGGAAGAGATTGTGGGCTTGAACCATGCTGAGCTGTTAATCAGTCTGCTACGAATTTGTATGCAGCGTCGCTAGGCGTGTACATACTCAGCATTAAGCAGATACAACAATGTCTCGGGCACTGCTCCTGGCTCCTCATGGCTCTTGCAGGAAAGCTCAGGACAATTTTAGTGTCCCGCAAGCACTGCTGCTAGACGACATGGGGTTTTTTTTCAGGTACAGGTACTTTTTAATGCTGATCTTACGTCACTTAATAGACTGAAGGAAGAACAGTCGAGGCACACGCTGTTGTATGTCGAGCGTAAAAATGTAAAAACCACATTTTCTTGAATAGACTGGGATATTTCTCCCCCCTCTCCTCCTTAAACAAATTTTATGTAAAATTGCCCAGATTCCTGCCAAAGGACAGTGTGTCCTTTCTCCTGTCACAGTGCTATTCCTTATGTCATTCACTAGAAGTTTCAAAGATGGTGAAAAATATTTCCAGTTTATTTTATTGATGCCTTGCTGGCAAATCTAAGTTTTTTGACAGAGGTGCAATTGACTTTAGTATTGTGCATCAGGAAAGGAAGATTGTAGACCGGCTTCTCTGTTTTCTTTTCATTGGGATTTTAAAAATACATGTTTCTTCACACAAAAAATTGATGTCCATTGTTGTGGTTGTTGTATCGAATAACCATACTAGGCTACTTATGAATCCAAAGCACTAAGCTTTAATATTAAGCAGTACTGTTTTTATTACACCTCAGGAAATTGTTCTTCTAGCAAGAATTATTCCATCATCCAAACTCTATGATATAGTTCTAATAAATATCCTTTAGAAATAGCTATCTTTTTGGTATTCCTGAATGTAGCAGCCATAAATATTTTCTTAAAATGAAGTAAAGAAAAATAATTGGAAAAGTCATTGGTGTTAATGGAAGCAAAAATATTCATCATTACTAGGAATGATAAAAGGAATGTAATTGATACCTATTCTAGAGCATCTGTATTTGTAGCTAATAGTTGTTTTTAACAGTTTCTGCTAGCTTTGGGATTGTAGCAAATTCTTTGCCTTTTTTTTTTTTTTTTGAAAAAGCTTATGTGTGCAATAATAGCTGTCTGGAATTCCACCTCAGAAATTTACTTGCAACTGGGCTGTTAAGGCTTTTTGCAACCACTCAGATAGAAAACTTATCACTTTATATTATTGATATAAAAAGGCTGTCAAATCTAGGTCAAATCTACCTGTGCCAGGAAAGACATTGCTGATACATACCGTAGATGAGATTTTTTTCCCCAAAGTTCCAAAAGCGATGGAACCATCACTGCTAGATATTGCCAGCTGGGTAATGAGGAAACGAGCAACTCTAGAAGTCACTTCCTAGACATGTTTTTTTTTAGACTGGGGGAAAGCTTTGTCATGTTTCATAGAACTATTTGAAAATTAATACCTGCAGGAACTCAAATAACTTGTTTCCCACACTTTTTTCCCGGATATTTTTTATCCAGACCAGCTACAGTTTATCAGCCACCATTGCCCACCTCTGACAGTCCTGTCGTTCCTTCTAAGACTCTTCTGATCTCCATAGCCTGGCACGACTTGCCACAGTTTGCCGAGAGTATCCAGGTTCTGCAAATATCTGTGGGGCTGAACAGCCTTTCCAGGCATATATGGTACATGAGGCTGCCTGATCTGTTCTTGCATACAAAGTCCTTCATGCTTAAGATGATGTCTTCTTTCACTTTGAAGCTGCATACAGAGTGAATTTGGTCCTGAAACTGGCTTTGAGTTTCCCCTCAAAAGGCAATCTAGGCACAACAACGTTGCTCACTCTATCACTATTTTACTGTTCCAATATGTACTTTTTCCCTACTCCCAACCAGTGATATGACCACAAACCAGCAGCAAAGTGCAGCTGGAGGTTGGGCTGAAAGAAAAGTGTGTGGAAGGAGGCCAGTTCGTGCTACCGTGCACAAGAGTCCAGGCTGGGCAGCCCCTCCTTTTTCTCCTGCACAACTCCTCTTGGAGACCAGCCAGTCGCCAAACCGCTGGGGCTTTGCCAGTGTCATGCAGGGTAGTACAAAAGGTGTTTCATAAATTGTACTCCAGGTTATTTAGGGACCATACTGGCTTTTTGCCAGGTAGAGGTGTGGTGAGCAATTTGGGAATGTGCAGTGTATATCATACAAGGCACACATTTCAGTTTCCTCTTCATCAGCTGCCCGCAGGGCGAAGTTAAGGTTGCTTCAAAATCTTAACAGATTTGGATTCCGTATGCATTCACACCCATCTACCTATTTACATTTTGATTTACTAATGCCTGGATTTGAGGTAATTAAGCAGTTTGTTCTAAATTCTTCATGACTACTTTCAAATTTTATGCCATTGTTACATAGCTTTTGCCTGCGTATTCTTTATAAAAATCTCAGTTGATTTGCACAACTGCTGAAATAAGAGATGTTAGAGACTGTATAGATTTCAAATGGTTCTCAGGTAGATGACAAAATTGTGTTAAAAGGTGAAGATATGTTACTACTGCTAGTCATAGGTAGGTTTCTGTCTTCCAGATGACATACATGGTGGTAACAAATAATCATTTGATTTTTTTTTTTTTTTTACTTTTCAATACACAAATTTTAAAGGACACTCATGATGACTAGCTATCAACTAGCTGATTTCCAATAAGCAAGTTAATGAATCCAGCTCCGCAATGTAAAGAACGTGTATTAACTCATCTTTTGTCTCCTCTTTTCTCTTGTCTTCTGCCTTATCTTCTTAATGGCCTGTGCTATTCTGGACTGCTCACCAGTCAGGAGGTTCTGAAAAGTCTTTGGTTGGTCATGGCCCTCTTGAGGGCCAAGTCAAACTATTCCATAGCCATGGGGGCTCTGCTCTGAAGGAGAGATATTAAATGCCTTGTGAACCTTTTTGGATGCTCCTAGAGTGCTTTCCTACTCTTTCATAAACATCCCATGTTTTCCAAACACTGATTTGAAAGGAGGTGATGTAGAAATTGAGGCACAGAAGAAAAAGATATTGTTAAAACCAACTTTAGGTGCCCCATTTGACATGTGTGGTACCAACAATCCCAGTCACTGAGCATTTTAGAAGAGGGAATTGGCTGAAAGTATAACTTCCACTGCAGCTGTAAGTGCTCAGCACTTCAGCAACACAAACCTGAAGGTGCTAAGCCAAGCATGCAGAAATTGTGAAATGCATACTTAATGACCGTTTAGTTAGCTTTAAGTAACTTGCTTGCATCGTATACTAATTCTGCGGCAGGGGCATGGATTGTATCCTTTCTCCTGACAGCACTCAACTACCTTAACCACGAGACTGCTTTCTCATCTTGCAGTCCCCAGCCTTATTCACAGTGCACCTTCCAACTTCTGCAGCAGATGAGGGAAACCAAGTTTTCTTCACTACATTTATGTTTTACCCCTCAAGCTCTCTTTGTTCTGTGCATTGGCAGAGTGGTGCAGAAAAAAAATATTGTGCGATGAGGTAATTATGGCTTGTGTTGTAATGTGTGTGCCCAAGGGGCTTGCAATAACATTGCACAGTTTCCTAGCTCTGCCTGTAATATATACATGAATGGAAGAGAGTTAAAATTCTCTGAAGAAGTAACATTTAGGAGATTTTTTACTTTAAAATGCAATTGTTACTTTCACTTAAATGATAAGTATCTTCTTGTACACTTGGGAAGCACCAACTTTTGTCAAGGAGTGGACACAACAAATAAGCCAAACCTAAACAGAAAGTGGAATAGAAATAGGTCATCTCCCGCAGAATAAATCAAGGTCAGATTGCATCAGATAACCAACAATTCATCAGTTTTACTACAGCTGGCAGACATATGGGTTTGAATCTTGGCCAGGAATATTTAGAATTCAAGGTGTGCTATAAAATGAAGTCATCCTGTTTTGCCTTTTTTTAATACCTCAGAAAAGGTTTGGTCATAATTAAGAAGTAAGTCACCTATCTTCAGTTCATTGTATTTATCTTTTTCTCTTCTTCTTGAGCCCTGAGAATCTATCCCCAGAGTAATAAACATTATTCACAGGGTATCTTAAGTCCAACTTTTTATTGTTGTGGCTGTCAGAAGTGAAGTTTTCTATTCTTTTGAATCATAACAGCAGTCATTGACTTACAGTAGACTTCCTATTAGAAAATAGACAGCTATTTTCTACTGCCATCCTGTGGATGTGGTTCCACAGCATTTTGCTGAAATTTCATGTTAATGTTTTTAAGGCATGACATGCCGAACCTGTGCAATGCCTTAGGCAGTAGTCCAAGGCAGGAAGGCAAATTCCACAGTTCTACTTGCACAATGAGTGCTGTAATTGGCCAGGCTATGATACGCATCTTTGTACTCATTTTTTAAAAGATCTTAAAAGGTCTGGACATCAGAAAAATGTCCATAGTACATTCAGAAACTCTGTTTTCATAGCCTTTGCATATTATCAACACCCACAAAAGTGATATTCGGAGTTTTTTGTAAAGTGCAGGACAGGCTCAGCACTAGCTCTGGCAAGAAGGTTATCAAATATCTGTGCTACACAGATTTAGCAGCACTCCACTGCAGGACAATGAAGGTTTTAGGTGCTCTGACTATCAGCAATGGAAAAGTGGGCCTGAAGTATTTTATGTAGGAATATAAGCACCTGGTCTAAGAAGGAGCATATGTGGCAACCAGGAAACAAGCTCTTTTAATCTAAAGGCTTGGATAATCACTCTATTTTTAACTGTTTGGACTCTTGCCATTTTTATGTGGGGCTTGGGTGAAAGGAAGCTAAGTGTTTTTCTTTGTCGCAGCTTTTGCAGCAACAGAAGTAAAATACATTGGGAAAAATTCCTTTTCTTCAGCTTTCTCTCAGACCTGACACTTTAATAGGACTTTTGCATTTTTCTCCCATCAATACTAAAATCTGTAACTTTTTTTTTTTTAAGGCAATCCCAAATTGATTCACCAGCATTATCTTGCTGATGTGCCTGAAGGATTTATTGACATTTTCTGGCTGGACAAGTGATTCTTGCTACCAAACTTCCTTGACCAGTAATAAGAATTGCTCATGGAGTCAAAAAGACATTTTTCTGCCAGTGCTTTGCCCAGTAACTGATCAACATAACGGAAATTGGTGTATATAGTAATGGCCTTATGCCTTTGGAATTTTTCACTTAATTCATTCATGATGTTCAGATGACACATCATGTATCTTTGATCATTTGCAGACTTTCTGTACACTCTAGCACTTTCCTGAAACACTAGGAAAGACTCTTGCAGTGCTGCAAGAGAAGACTATGCTGGTATACATATATGAATTGCAGCGTATTTATTGCCTGTTATTTTTACTCCTCTAGATTTAGTAGAATTAATTATAAAGGCATGAATTAATACAGATTTTAGCTGATTTGAATCACAAACACTGTTCTAAGAAAGATGTTTAAAAACCAACAAGTCTGAATTTGCTATCCCTAAAGCTCAACAGTTTGCCTAATGACTTCATTCTATTAGTACACAACAAATTCACATTCAAACACAGTATTAAAGTTGAAAGATATGAAAGCAGAAGGTTGAATAGTGACAATGCTTTTCAGGTACAGGTCGCAACAACATTTTACTTAAGCCTGTAAAAAGCTTACTGTTCCTGCCAATGATGTGCATATTTTAGGCAAAAGGACATGCCTGAAAACTGCTTAAAGATCAAAAGATTGAACTTCTGCTGAGTTGTTCATTTTATATCATTAGGACAGCCAAAGGCTATAAAAATGGGCTTACTTTGTCTTCCTCTTCTTTGTTTATAATTTGATAACATTAATGGGATTAGTCTAATAACGACACCTTACAGTTGGAAAAATTGAGTAAGTCCATTTTACAAAGCAGAACTGGTATTTCAGTGCCAACAAATTACCTTAATTTTGCTCAGATATGAGAGATACTGCATTACAAAATTACTTTAAACCTTAATAAGGCAATCTTGGGTATATAATATATAACAGATTTAGATCACATTTGCACCCTGAAGGTGCTATCTATAGAGCCCAGCACATGAAAAGAAATGGTCCAAATTGCTCGGAAAATTATGTTCGGACCCCTGTTACAACTAGTTAATAGAAGCAAATAGCATCTGTGAAACAGCTTACCTTTACAAGGCAGTATAAACCAACACTGAATATAAGTAAAGCATCCCCATATATTTTGTGGAATTGCCTTTCCGAAGATTTCCTGCCTATATCTATCCAAATTTGCTTTAGCTAGATCTGTGTATTCTTTGGGGAGTTCTGGTGTCACTCTGAATATACTGAGGCTGTTGAGGAGTGTCTCTTTTCTCTATATGAACACTGTTTTTTTCCCGTTACTGTTATTTGGAGGCAAGTTTGGTTACATCAGTACTGGCAGCTGAAGAAATTGTATTTGCATGTGCGGACACTGATCACAACCAGTCACCACCATAACTTTAAAAATACTTTCTGTGCGTAAACAAGGCCGAAATTAGAACAGTTCTGACTCTTTTCCTCTCCTTCTTCCCCTAACTTGTTCAAAATAGCTGCAGCCTGTTATTATCCTATCACATAAACTCAGTTTTGCAGGTTGGCTGTGTTGTCTTCAACTTCTTCGTACCTATTTGCAATAAAGTCTTTTTTACCACAGCCTTTCCTCTTCGTGCTCCTCCTTCCTATCTGCACTCTCATTCACTCTAGAAGATGCATCAGTATGGAGCTCCTTCCCTCTCAGGAGCTTCTCCCTGTTCTGGTCAGCTTCCTCCAGCTATTCTTCTGATGCTCCTCTTAATCTGCCCTTGTAGTACAGATGTTTCTGTGGTAGAGATTTGGTCTTCTTCTCATAGACTTTAAAAGATTACTCCAGTAGGGTGTCTCTTCGCCGCTTCCTTCAGTGCATCTCCCACTCCTCCTTTGGACTGATTCCTCCAAAAGCCTTTCTTAAAACGGGCAATTTTCAACTTTCTCATTTCTCCTCTGCAGAAGGCATTTTCAAGGAGCTGCTGCAAATGTTTCTCTGTCAGAGAGAAGCTTCACAAGCAACGCTTCCAAAGTTTCCTTATCTGCTCTCAGCATTGTGCTCTCAGGCAACCCTCACTAGTCTGCATTGTCGGATAGCAGAGTATGTCACTTTGGAGATGGTTATCTCAAGGATGTGCAATAAGTAGTACATAAAAGTACAGCGGGTTTAGTCAAATTTAGGAAAAAAAAACCACGTAAGGGCTTTGAACATTCAGGAGGCACATCTGAGTCTCTTCTACTTGTTTTTCCACAGTGTTTCTGGGTAGTTTCTGCTCTGCCAACAGAATGACCTGTCTCTCCTTCCTTAGATATCGCTGATACTTATTGTCATGCAATATCTGGATAGGTGCCACATTTTGCACAAAGAGGAATTATGATTAATTCAGGGAAAATAATAATTACTTTGATAAATCTCAGGTATTTTAAAGACACTGAAACACTGCTGTCAATTGCAAGAGACATATAGCCAAACTAATAATAAATTTATTATTATTATAATCACCCAGCAAAAGAGACTAACTTGTGAGTTGTCCTGGGGTCAGAAAAGGCATACAATACACAGAGCTGACATTGGAACAGTAAGTATCAACACTTACGATTTTACTTCCATGATGTTTTAGACAAAGAAGTTTGACTTTGATCTGCAATCACGGACAAATGAATATTTAATATTAATGGAAAAAAACCTTTCTGAGGGTATATTAACTAGCCTGTTTCATGTCTTAATTCTGTTCTGCAAACATTCTTTTAACTGATTTAAGAATTTGACAAAGTACCATAACTTCAAACTAGCACATTTCTGAATCTTGTTCAGATTCTGGTGTTGACTCTATGGGTTAACTAGACTTCTGTTTCTTAGAGCAAACCTCAGATTTAGAAATGTACCAGAAGGATCTAGACCTACCTTCATCATTTTTTTGGTGCAGGTCCTCAAATATACCAGGACTGGTATAATTCTGAAGCACAGCATGTTTCTGTCTTCCTGATTCTTATTATTTTATCTCAGTGAGCACAGTGTGAGCTCCGCATAGTCCTCTCTTTCACTTCTAAGACATTTGAGAAATGTTAGGGATTCTACTATCGTACAGATATTTTTGTTAGGACATTTTCGGTAGGACAAAGTTATTCCTGCAACTATGAATCATACAGCCATATCAAAACGCAATTTATTAAAATGACGGCAGTTTGCATAATACATCTATGCATGAGTTACCAAACATCTAAAATACTTAATCCAGACTACTAAAATCACATCACTGCAATGCAAAAGCCCCTCTGAGCTGCCTGAGTCATACTTTCTTTTGGCAATCTATTTCCTTTCCCTTTTTCCAAAGTTTTCTGCACCAAGCAGGGGTTTATTCATGCCTTATTCTCTTTAGCTCTAAGAGAGAAAAACAGTTATTATTATTGGAGGTCTCATTAGCCTTTTGAAAAAGCATTGGTTGAACATGTATACCACCTGTAAGAAATCCATTTTTATTCAGTACCCCAAGGTGATCATCCTTTTATTCTGGTGACTTCTTTCCCAAATCACTAAGTAGCTCTCAAAAGATTTCCCACCTCCTGTCTCCCAATCCAGCATTTAAAGTGTTAATGAATTTCCATTTCCAAGTCCTTTGTTCTACTGTAGAGGTGTAAAGTTACCTATTCAGTCATTCATTTCACATTTTGGTCCCTGAGGCAGCAGAAGGAATTCACCTCCATAAAATGCTGTAACAGCTGAGCTTTGATTTCATATTATAAAGAGAAGCACAGAATCCCTGTTGGCATAAATTCTGTTAGGATATCGGGGCTACTGATTTATTCCCACTGAGGATTTGTCTCAAAGGCTTTACTCTTTCACCCATTTTTTAACCTTCTTCTGTTTTCTCTTCTAGGGCAACAGGCTTTGGCTTTTTGAATGCACTATGCAAAGCAGCAGCTGTACTTGGAAACTTAATATTCGGTTCCCTTGTTGGTATCACCAAAGCAATCCCTATTCTCCTTGCTTCTACTGTTCTAGTATGTGGAGGTCTAGTAGGACTTCGGCTTCCTGACACAAGAACCCAGGTGTTGATGTAACTGGAAAAAGCCATTTACTATTTATTTCCTTCTTCGTGCAAATGTCAGCTCTCCTGACTGATGGTGCAAAGGCTTCAGATTCTCAACGCTTAGTAGATTGCTCAGATGTCAAAGCCAAAAGATACTTTGGAGTGGCAGAGATTTAGAAACCTCTGTATGAAAGTTTTAAATTTCACTTCTGTTTGCTTGCATATATTGCTATTCAAAACCACTTAACTTCAAACTGCAAAGCTACCTCTTAAAACACTTTCAGTGACATGTCCAGGAAGATGAAAACCATACTAATAATTAGATATTTAAAATGCAAGCAGTTGTATTATTTAAAAATACATCCTAAATTTGGCCATGGCATTGTGAGCTTTTGTGACAGTACAAACATGCAATTCAATTGCTTAGCAGTATTGGTGCAAAGAATGTTAATATTACATGTGTCAATGCATGCAGCATTAATTGGGAAACTCTACAGACCGCATCAGTACTGAGAATACTGACCTTCTGCGGCTGTGCTTAGGTGGTAAAAACTTGTGACAATGCCTCTTCCTTGGGAAACTTTTTTAGGTAGATTCAACCTAAAGTAAAGGTTACCGACTACACCCCCTATTTGCTGAGGAGAAGGCAACAGCTATTGCAGGGAGATGAAAAGCCCATATGTGCGGGCAGCAAAAAGAATAACAAAATAAGCACTTTCCCTCTTTGCTGCTGATCCTCCAGAAGAATTTTGTTTTCTTCTCACTTGTGGCATCTGGAATATTTTGCCATTTTACAACAGTGAATTTGTCTTAATCCAGGAGTGAATCAATGCAAATACTTATGTTGTTGTAAGTATGAATAAAGGAAGAATCAGGCCAGTGAACTATCTGAAAAGTAGCACGCTTTCAGGAAAATTTGTTTGGTATTTACATTTCTAACACATTTTTCTTTGTCACAGAATGGTTACAAAAATATGCGGCTGGAGAATGTCACCTAGTAAATTTAGTCAGGTCATAACTTCAATATAGAGTATAATATATTTAAAACATCTTAAAAGATTTTTTTTTAAATAATATCAAGACAAAGAAAAGCAATAATAAAAAACACCTTCATTATTTTTACAGTTTATACACTTCTTTATATAACCATTTTCTCAGCTGATTTTTAATAGTTCTAGAGATATCTCATCAGTTAATATTTTCAAATATCTCTCTGAAAGGCCATTAAGAAAGAAGCAATGGCAAGGCTGCAGGGAGTGGTAATGTCTTTATTAGACCAAGTGCAAGGATGGAGAGTAAACGGTGGTAAGTATATTCCTTCTAAGCCATATGCTGTGGACTGTTCTAGATTACAGTAGAGAGTTCCTCCCCAGTCCTACTGCTCTGCAAAAGGCTATGGAATCTTTTTAAGATGTTAACTTTAAAAATTAAATAGAAATACATCTATAAAGTTAGCAGGCAAAAGGGGCAGATCCTTTGATGGCAGAAACTGGCATTGCTTTCAGAGGAGCTAAGACAACTTGTATCAGCTGACTAACTATCTGCAGTTTCAAGTTTCAAAGAACAAATTTGGTACAAAACATAAGGGAAAATTTATCAGTATTCTTTCTAATTATGTCTGACAATATTTATTAGGTGGTTGAATCATTGCCAAAGAAATTAGGCTTTCAGATAAGGTCATCGTGTAGTAGAAGAGATTTTTTTTTTTGACAGTTTTTCTCTTGCTCATGTATGTGAACTTAGCTTGGGTAGTAATATCTGTCACTGTGTTCTGTGTCAGTCATTGTCTTAGTTGTATTGAAAGAGTCAGTAAAAGTCCACATAAGAAGATCATTCATTACATTTAAAGTTCACTGTTTAATTTACTGATTCTAGATGTTACATTTTTTCAGTTATTAACAAATGACTGTGCCACATGTTGTAGCACCAAAATGTTAACCTAAGATGTGGTTTTCTGCTATTAACAAATGAGAAAAGTGGCTCAATTAAAAAAACCATGAGTATGGAAAACTAGCGGGCATTTTTTTGATATTGATAATTTAAATATGATATAGTAAGAAACAAATTTTCTGAAGTGTGTTTATTTGGCAATATAAACAGTCAAGATATTTGAGATTAGATCTTTTATATTTAAATCTGACTTAAACATGTCTTTTAAATTTCTAAACTATGTTAAAAAAAAAAGAAAGAAGAATTATTTTTCACCAAGTTCCAGGTTAAGAACAAAATACTTAGTTTTACATCTGTGGCTTTTGTCCACTAGTCATAGTCTTAGTATTATTTCAAGGCTGTATTCTCCAATGAGAATTTTATTTGAGCCCTATTTCTCTATGCCATTTGTTAGTAGCATGTGTCCACCTCCTCGTACTTACTACACAACTTATTTTGAAATCTGAAGCCTCTGTACGTGTTTGGAGTAAACATCAACAGCAATGGTAAAATATAACATTGTCTTGCTATGCACTGTCCACTTAAAAGTAGTATATTCTGTCCATCTCTGTGTGTAATTCCGAAGAACATCCAGATCCAACACTTTATGCCACCTGACCAGTATGGAGGAAATGGGCCACAGAAAAGTAAGGTTCATCTTTTGAGGGTTACGGTTCAAGGCTAAAATCTTATTACATGTAAAATTATGGTGATTTCAGTGCTGTTTTTTATCCTAAATCCTGACTATATCATAAGTATGTGGTTAAGTCTGGATGAAGTGGAATATAGCAACAACAGGAATTAGGAAAGACGAACAAAATTCCCAACTACGTGGACCTTGCATGGTCCCAGATTGGAGTGAAAATTCTAAGGTAGGAGAAGGAAAAAAGAAGAATAGTGGGTAGGAAAGGGGAGAAAAAGTAAATAGAAGAGATGAACAAAGAAAAAAACCCACAAACATTTCCAACATATTAACGAAAACCTAAAGCTAGAATCTCCCTAACTGGTGAGCCAGTTGTCTCAACAGATTTGGAGTAGTGCACAAGCCAGCATCAAAGCTGTTTGAAAAATCAATTGTTTGGGCTTAAGTGCAGTAAAGATTTACCTCATAAAGACAAAAGAATTGAATGCAATTTCAGGCTATAAGTACTTGGTTAGACAGGTACAATCCACAGGCTGGAACAGAAATACTTAATCTATGGAGATCTGGACACAAATGTTACTGTTATAAGCAAAAGTAGTTTGGCTCACCTTTAGTGAATCTGTATTTTTTTGCAGCTTCCAAAGCAATCTCAGGTAATAAATATTGGACAGTAGGAACTGCACTTCCTTTCTGTGTCTATTCACTTATATCCCACACAAAGAATCACTTAGTGGCCTGTTTAAATCCCTGATACACCACAGAGAACCAAACTTGATAACATTTGTGTATCAGAGCTATCAAACGCACATAATCAAAACAGCTTATTTGCCTGTTTTGGTCACTGAACTGACTGAACACTAATTGGAAACTCATTTCTGTCTAAATTAAAGTAGGATATAAGGTCTAGTGCTCTTCTCCTGTAAAGCTGAAAGGCTCATCCCAATGACAGCAATGACGAAAAGTACAACGGTCCCTGAAGACAAAGACTGGCAGCATTTAGAATAGTATTAACCATGATGGCCAACTACTTTAAAATTCAAAAACTGTCAGCAAAAGAGACCACATGTTTTCATTTTTGGCAAAGAAATTTATTTTTATTAGTTTTACTCCTTACAGGTTGCCTGATAGTAGAGTTTGACTTACCAGACTCCTATTTCTTGAAAGCATCTTATTATTTGTGTTTGTACATTCTAACCAGATTGGCTATACTAATGTTAGCACTTTATTGCTTGGAAGCATGCACTACAACATCTGGTATGCGTTGCATTGATTACTGAGTACAGACTCCTAGCAAGGGAATCAGGACTAGGTGTTCACGGTTTCTGGAGTGCTGAAGGGGATTGCTAATGAATGATATATTGGGAAGCCTTCTTACTCTATATTTGATTTTAGCCAGTGACCTTCCAGAGGTGTATACTACAAAATTTCAACACAGGTGAAGAAGTGTTAGCCCTCCTTCTTGATGGCTCCAGTAGTCTACTCTTTGTTCATCATCTTAGAAAAGTGGGGCAAAGACAGCTAACTCAAGCTCTGCTCTCTTTCTCTTCATGCCATTCCATTCATTCCATCCCAAATAGCTTTTCTTACCAGAGGCCCAATCTTAAAGAAAGTCAAAACTCACTGCTCCTGCTCTCACTTGCTTCTGACTTCGTCTTAACATTCAGTAGGAAGGTTTGCCACATATTTTTTACAATTTGGCCATCCCTTTTTAAACCAAGATGGAAAGCGAACTCAAAAGTCCTTCAGACAACCTCACCCTTTTATGGCAGCCAGACTCCACATTTCCCTACGTATCCAGAAGGCTGAACTAATACAAGGAGGGGTTTCCTCTCAGAGTGCCCGTTGTTGGGTTCCTTCTGCTGTGGGTGCAGATAGGGGGGAATCGCCTTGTCTGTGCACCTAGCTCAGCTCCATTTGGAGGAAATGTTATTCTCTGTTCTTGTTTTCTTTTTCTACCACTATGGAGCCTTATCTTCATGTAACTGCTCCTGAGGCACAACTGCTGATTCCAATTCTTAGCAATATAATATAGTCCTCAGCCCCTCATATGGACAGCTTCTGTGTGCTGGGCTTTAGCTCTCTTCCCCATTGTGAGTTTAAAACGATCTTCATCAGTCAGAGAAAGATGTTTGCATCCAGTCGCACCTCTTTACCTAAACAAAATGATATCATGATAATACAACCTACAAGCCATGTTTCCTGTTTAATAACCTGGAAATGCAATTGAAATTTCAATCACAATGTTAAAAAATGAATCCTTGCACTCAGGGGGTCAAAGAAACAAGAAGTGAAAACAGAAATGCTCCAGTTCCTCTGGAGTCTTGAAAGAAAACACATGTTTGGTAATCATATTCCAGAAGAAAACACGTCTGAAAGACTGCTTTTCCTCCGCATTTCCTGCCCTCTTGTTCATTAAACTCACTGTAAAATATTAGGTATTTGTCAGAATTAGTAC